TATTCCACTGATCTGAGGTGGAACTACATTGAATCAATAGCTGCATCTACTGCAAGGAAAGTTGGTTCTCTGTGCCGCGCCGGAAGGTTTTTCTCATCTGATTCCATTCTTCACATCTACAAATCTACTATTCGACCATGGATTGAATACTGTTGACATATATGGTCTGGTGTCCCCGCTGTTCATCTCGAGGTTGTCGACAAAATCCAAAGACGTATATGCAATGTGATCCGTCCTGACTTTGGGTTTCAACTCTAGTCACTTTCTCACCGACCTAATGAGGCTTCCCTCTGTCTTTTCTTTTCATGGCATCTGCTGTGACTAGCTATTTTCACGGGTACACCGACAGCAAGAATTTAAGCTTGCTACTAGGTTGGCATCTCGGTTCCGGTCGAAACAGTTAAATGCAACTGCCTCTTCTACTATAACAGCAACTTCTCTCGCACTTCCCGACTGTGGAACTTCCTTTCTCTTACTTGCTTCCCTGATAACGAAATCTTTAAAAATTTAAATATAATGTCAATTGACATTTTCTGTTGCCTTCATCTCCGTTTTTCTTTTTATCCTCCTCCGTTCCTCTTTTTATCTTTTCATCGCCCACCCCAATCTATACCCAGGTTTTTCCCTTACTTACACTCTCTGTAACCCTTTGCGTACTAGTGGCACTCCCGCCTTGATTCGGGTGAAATGCTTCAAAGAAAAAGATACCAAACGCATCTGTCAACAATCATAACGAAATCTTTTAATCGCTGCATGTTCAGCATTTACTTTCCGCTTGTTTCTCATGAGTATAGGAGAGGCTGGTTGAATTCGAAATTGAAAGAACGAGACATTTTCCAAAGTTTGTAGTGTCTCAGCATGTCCGCGTCTTTGCATGGAAATGAGATTAACTGATGTTACGTCACCGTTCGATATGAGCGTTTATGCCACGGGCCAAGTCTTGTCAATTGGAATAAAGATTTCCTAAGCAGATGACCAATCGTGACTGCAAGGTCAATTTCCTTTGCCGAAAGGACAACGATAATACATTCGTTTGCATATATTTACGATAAAGAAGAAATATTGCAACAACTTATTTAGTAAATGTGGAACTCTACAAGAAAATGCACTTATTTTTCCCCACTCCATAGATTCTGTTTAAATATGCCTTACCAAAAATATTCGCTGGAATTCTGAGATGATTATTTATCTGCAGAGTTGCTAGAATTAATATTCTTATTTTTGTTGGTTTTACAATCAAGCTTAGGCAGATTCAATTTTTGGATATTTTCATCTATCTTACGATGTCAGCAGCAGTTTTGTTTACTTCTCGAGGTAAATGCTATTTATACACAATGCCAGAAAAATCCTGGCAGTATTTTTGAAATTAATTCTGTTATTTATTGATCGTACATTACTACTATGTTCGGTCGAGGAACCAGTAAGTTGCCTTCCAAAAACAAATCAAAGTATTATGTAACGAGAAATTTTCATTTGTGTTATGGTCCAATATCCTCGCACCACAGTTATGGTCCAAGGTTAGAACCAAGGAAGAACAATACAAACACAAAAGTAGAATAACAAAGATATATTACAACAGAAATATAGTACAAGAAGTTGAAGTTGTTAGTAATGACTGTCCGTCTGGTTTAGAGTGAACTAATATTGTCTCGGCTCGTTACACCATCCATTGGGTATCTAGCTAGCCTCCCCACCCCCACGAGGGTTGTATGTGGCACAAGGCCGAGTTTAACGTGGGTTTCTCGAGCCCGTAGTCTGGGCCAAAAATATACCCTTTGAACCCGCCTGGACGGGTTCAGGGGCTGTCTACCTCCCCGGACGAAACACTGCCCTTCGGCAAAACTTCGACCGGGTTCCTCTCTGCCAAAGCAGAGAGTTCAACTGTCATGACTTGGTGCTCGTTACACCATTCATTCATTATACCTCTTGAGAGGCGCAGTCTTTATAGTGTCAGGAAGAGTCCATTATAGTTATAGGTAAGTTCCCATGACAATTAGGAACAAAGAAAAAAGTGCTGAGTTCTTATGTAATAGAAATCCTTTTATATAGCAGTAAATGTTGAAGAATTTTTTCATAGATGAAGAAAAGACTTGAGGCAACAGATATGTAATTCTACAGAACGATGCTGAAAATAATATGGACAGAAGTTGTAAGCAACTAAGCAGTCTTAAGGAAAATTGTAACAAACAGTACACATAATCGAGGAAAGGGACTTGGAGAATTTGACACTTACTAGAAATATCGATGGCAAAAGTTGAACGCAGAGGGTTACCTACCCGACGAGCTTCTCAGAATAGGTATTGGAGGGATTGATGGTTTGTTAAAGTCACAAACATTTGCTAAAAGCTACAAGGGATAGAACGTTGTGGTGAGCCATCATCGCCTACTCAGGAATAACACGGCACATACAAGAAAAGTAAAAAAAAGATACAATTGAAATTTCTGGAATATTCAAAATTTTTTACATACTTTATTAAACGGATTTCACTGTCTGTTTATCTATCTATCTATCTATCTATCTATCTATCTATCTATATGCATTTGGTTTTTGTAATAAATTACAAAAACCAAATGCATATTAATTACAAACAAGACGAATTTTCTCTAAGGCATATTATAAAGAAATTTACTACTCCAATTGATCCTAATAAAAAATCAAATTTATTATCTATTATAAAAAATTTAAGACAGCCAACCTTATCTTCAAAAATAACAACACACCAACTAAGTCAAAATTACAAAGAACGAACATTATCTATTCAAATGCCCCTTAAGGAACTGTGTTCCTGATCAAACCAGAATCATAAATAATTACATCGGCTACACAACCACATGCTTGTCCAGACGTCTTACGTTACCCCTATCTGATCACAGCTCCATTAGAACCCATTTAAACACACACACAGATTTACCCGATTCCATTAGGAGCATACTAGTAGAAAACACAAATATATTAACTGCACCCACCTGCAAAAAAAGACTAAATATAATAGAAGCTTTAATAATAAAAAATAAAAAGCCAACTCTTAAAAATATTAGCTACGAACAAAGCCACAATGTGCTAACCGTATTCGGAAATTAAAAAAACATCCCTACCACACACTAATACATACACAGAACGCACACACTCAACTAAGCTGAAAATCGAATCATCCTTGATAATGGCTAAAGGTATAGCCGAAAGCGCTCGTAAATATAAAACATTCGGACAGTTTTTACACCCTTTGTCCAGAAAAAGAAAGCTCTTGTCAGAACACAAGAAAAATTAAATAAAAAGCTTAACCGTAGTACCTTCTCTGTCGTTTTTAATGAAACATGCATATATATATATATATATATATATATATATATATATATATATATATATATATATATATATATTTTGCTCTAGTAACCATGGATGATCATTTTATTCAAACATCAAACGCATCGAAGGACTAACCGATCATAAAGAAGCATTTACTAAAATAACAAAACCAGACCCCCCCCCCCAGAAGTAATCATGAAACTTATGGAACGTGTTCTTACATTGAATACTTTCGATTTCAATGGAAAACACTACCTACAAGTAAGAGTATGTGGCATTGGCACCGTTGCAGCTCTATCATATACCATAATATTTATGGGAGAATTTGAAGAGGCTCATAATTATCACTTCATCGGTAACGACTGCATATTCTGTGCAAGATATATCGATGATATCTTCTCTATACACACGGGCAGTGAGGAAAAACTCATTCCTTATGATCCTAAACACGGTAAACGACTCCATTAAGTTCGACCACGAAAAATCAACAAGATCGGTAGACATTTTTAGACATTCGCAACTACATTGATAAAAACAGAAAACTACAAACGACACTACACACTAAAATCACCAACACCCACAACTATCTACATTTTAAGTCTTCCCACCCAAAACACCTCAAGGAGAACCTTTCCTATTCGCAAACACTTAGAAGGATATCTTCTAACAATGAAGAACTAAGTAAACACACTCAAAATCTCGAGCATCAATTCAAAACATGTGGCTATAAACAACACCTAATCAAGGGACAAATAAAGAAATCAATTTCCACACAATTATCAATTAAAAATAAGTTCAGACACATCCCTCTAGTAACCGCATTCAACACCACTTTTTCTCCACTATGTCAGATAGTCAAAATTCGCTGAGAAATGCCATCTCAAACCAGACCTAAAAAACAAAAATATTAAGGTACAACCCAGTGCTTAAGAAAATCTTATTTTTTTAAATTTTTAAGTTTTTTATTGTTTACACACACACACACACACACACACACACACACACACACACACACACACACACACACACACACACACACACACACACACACATTTTCTTTTTTGGAATATAGAATTATTGGAAAATGTCGCTCTCATTCTGTTCCTATCGATCTACCTATCTATCTAAATTAATCGATTTTTATTTCGACACTGTTAAAATATAACGATTAACGTAAGGAGAATTAATACAGGGTTAAAAATCCGTTAATGTCTGCGAAATGACTGGACACGAAAATAAAGGTAAACACATATGCGTTTCTAAAGATATTTATGGTGAGATGTGATTTCCTCTCCGTGATGTCCTTCGCGGCTGAGCGGGCTAAAGCACTCGGAGACATTTCACTTTATATCAGAGGCGAGGACGTTGGTTTGAACCCTGCCGAAACGACACATTTTATTTAAGATCCTTGAAAACCTAGGTCAGTAATGCGTTAACCATTGAGTTTAAAAATACAGGAACATAAACTCAGATACGTGTAGCATAGTCATTTAAAAAAATGGAGAGATTATACTGGGAACCCGGTTTTGGTTGTTGCAGACATGATTTCTAGTTTGTTTTGGGTACTGATTTCAAAAAGGATATTTATCGAGATTTTCATGATTTTTTTTCACAAACTCAAATTTCCATTTGCAACATTTTTGGTATCGTCGCCATTTCTAAGGATAGATTTGACTTCTTAAAATCGAGATCCATGTATCTTACTTTGTTTCTATCTATCTATTTATCTATCTGTAATAGTTTGTTCATATCTATCTATCTATCTATCTATCTATCTATCTATCTATCTATCTATAATAGTCTGTTCATATGTAGAGGAAATCGCATCTCACCTTAAATTGTGGATAGATATCTACAATTTAAAGTAAATGCAAATACAAAAGTGAAAAAAGACAAGGTTTAAGTATCTTCAGTAAGTAAAACATCACACTTAAGCAACCGTCACTATTTCTAATCTTACCAGTTTTAAACGTCATGGTGATCATAGAAATAACCTTTATATACTTAGATGTTAATAAAAAACTTACGTTTGTGGTCCTTGACATAATGCATGTCTCATATTTGTGAAATTTTCTGGATTTGTTTGCAGATCTGCCTAAAGATCTGCCTTATTTACTGTGAGTATCATTGCAAACCAGATGAGACTTGCTTTCTTGAAACTTTAATTATTTCTTATCAAATTGCTATTTTGAATTCACACGTAATGTTGTAATTGTGAGATATCATGGTCCACGGCCAATTTTTCTCAAGCATGATCAAAGAACTGGAGGAAGAACATCAGGGTATGCATGGAACTTTACCATCCTGTATTTACTGACTTTATAACTTGACAATTCTGAGAATACTTTTACGAGGTTGCAGCTGGCTTGAATATATGTTTTGTATTTCAGAAATATGACCAGTTGTAAGAGACGAAAAAAAAACAAAAAAATAAAAAACAGTCCTGATGACTTAAGCTATATTTTTATACTTTACTTAGCTAGTGAAACTTACCTTACTAAATCTGAAACTGGTTGATCAAGACAAAACCTGTGCATCCCGTATAGTGTGTAAAATATGGGTTGAAACACTTAGACAGTAGAAAAAGACCAAAGAAACTGCCAAAACTTTGGTCTTGCTATTGGTGGGGGTGCAAAACAATTAACATAGTGTCTGCTACTTTTGCATGATTACTATATTTTGCTTCAATTCTAAGATTAAGCTTTACAACGTTTATCCGAATCTGTCATCGGTGATTCAACCTGTACCCCATTCAGACAATTTTTCACCACCGGAGGTCATGTTCTTTGTTGATGATGACGATGATGGGAATGAATAAGTAACCTGTAAGAGGACAACGATAAGAAACAGGAGAGGCTATGTCAAAACCTTTTATACAGGCAGAGTTAAATAATTTAGTTTGTGACCTAGATTTATCAAACAAAACCACCATATTGCTTGGATCAAGTTTAAATTCAGAGAACCTGCTTGAGCCGAGAAACAAATCAGCATGGATGATGCTTTTATCTGCAATGATGTTAAAGGCCTTATAGCTGTCCGATGGTAAATCCCAAGAACGTTTTGCTTCCTGCATTGAAAATTAAGCTGAATGTAATAAAACAGTTTGTGAAAGCCTTAGACAAGGATCTTGACAGTTTCAAAAGCTTATTTTTTAACCTTGTCTTGTGAGAAAAATAAGCCTGGTGTATTTGACAGGTTACACATTAACCGGTTATTATAAAAAGAGCAGTTTTTGGAGGCCATGGAATTTCCTTTAAAATGTCAGCTGGTTTATAATGATATTCTGGATGTGGTTGTGTTCGATTTCATGGGAAACAGGAATTATGAAGAAATTGTGCAGACTTTGTTAACTCGTTTCCGTGCACTGGGTGCAATGTGAGTATAAAAGTGCATTTGCTGCACAGACATCTGTACTTTCTTGAAAATCTTGATGCATTGCGGGATTAACAAAGAGAGAGATTCCACAAAAACAGGGAGTCTAAGTATCAAGGCAGGTGGAATACTATGATGGCTGACTATTGGTGCAAAGAGACTGTGGCGACGCAAGGAGAATATTCAATCAATGCGCAGCTGAAACTCCATTTTGACAGAAATATCTATCCTAAGTTGTTTAATTAATCTTTTTGTTTAACAAAATAAATACAATTTGATTTGTGTTAGTTCTTTATTTCAGTATCGAATTTAATGTCAAAATTGATATCTTTTGCTAAAAATTGAATTCATGTTTAAAAAAAAATCTTGACGTGATAGAAAATTTAAGAAAACTCAGTAAGATGAAATTAGGTAGGAACGATTGGAAAAAGCAAAGCAACTAAATTTTTTTCGAAAATCTTTCCCACTATCTGTCTATATCTCTGAGATGAGGTATTATGATTATTTACATGGCTCATTGGATAAAGACGTTGGTTAGATCCAGTGACTAGACACAGTGTTGTGAGTTCAATAGCAGGCTACAGCCATGGTAAACCCCCAAACTTGGAGAGTTGAGTTAAAGGGAAATAACTGAGACATCCGGAAGAGGCATGGCACGTGGAACTAGAAAAATCTAGCCTCACCTGAAGAAGACCGGACCTTACAACGGCCGAAACGTTGTGAATATAGCAATGAAGATGAGGATAAATAATATAAATAATTTAAATGATGTTTCTCAGTGTTATTCATCAGAACGCTTACCGAAAACAAAAACTAAAAAAAATCAAAAAAAATCTGTAAAGACTCCAATGGCATGATAAATAAGAAAAATTCCTTTAAAATGTCATTTGGTTTATAATGACATTCTGGTTACAACATTATGATAACCAATGAAAATAGAAATATAACCTTGACCTTTGATTTTCTTAGACGAATCATAATTTGTATCACTATGAATTGGCACTTTTAAAATAGTTTCCTCGTCTCCTTCAAAACGTTTCAGTAGTTGTACCAAATGATTTTCCTCAGATGTCTCTCAAATTCGACAAATTTTAAGTTTCCCGAAAGTGATGGACCTCTTTCATTTATTTCGTTCTCAATCGTTTACCTGCGAAGTTCCAGTAGAATTTCACATCTCTTGTCAATTCTTGCATATAGTGTCACGCTATCTATTTCCATTGAACTGATGGAGAAAGCATTTGAAAAACACACCGCTATTTCTGCACACATCACTCATTGCAATGTACAGGTTACATATATTGAAGTAAAGGAAGATGCGGAGAGCTATGTATAGCGGTATGTCTTGGATGTGTATCTGGTTAGGTTCTAGATACTCATTCTTTGTTAAACATTGTGTCTTCATGCAGAAAAGTGGAGTGTTTGAAAAGTGAGTTCGTTTTCTTGGGAAAGTTTAAAAACGAAGAATATCAAACAAGTGTTCTCTTTTATAGGATTCACCAGGGTAGACTGATCATCAAATTAGGCGATTTCTCTTTTATCGAGTTTGAACTCATATTTCCAAAAATGTATCGACCGTAGTCGGAATCATCAATGTGAACGATTCTATCCTTAGCTGTTCTACTATTTACCCATAGCTGGGGGGAGAGAGTTGGATTCCTACCTTTGCCATGGATATTAGCACGTAAGTGAATGTCAAGAACTTAACAGGAATTCAAACTCAGCTCTTCGATTCCTCAATCCGAACTGCAATCCATTAATCTACCGTGCCTTCTTAGTTAGAAACTTTGAAAATGTCGTCATTTAAGGTCTGAGACGAAACTCATTTTAGACTACAATAAGTTCGCTAATCCATAAGAATTCTCCACCCACAAATATTTTTTATTAATTGATTCATTTTCTACGGCTTATCAACCCTTTGTAGATTATTTAAAACCACATTGCAAGATTTATTTTTTTTAGATATTAATGATTTAGTGATACAAGCATTACTAATTAACCCATAGCTTGGGGGGAACTGGTGGGTTTATAACTTTCCCAAGGGTATTCGCGCGTAAGTGAATATAACGGAGCGAACGGAAATTGGATGGCAACTCTTCGATTAACAATTCCAAGCCATTATCCGTTACACCAAACGGTTACCCATAGAGATACTCACCAGGATCAACGTTGCTTAACTTCGCTAATCATACAGGAACTGGTGTTTCAGTGTGATAAGGCCGTAAGCCTCCCCAAATCTGCTTTGCATTTAAAGTGGGTCATTCATTCAAACTGGCTGCTCGATTAATGAGTATTATCGGATAAGATTATAGATGACCGCCTGTTGTTTTGAAGAAGAATGGTATAGACACACATACACAAACACACAGAGAGGGAGAAAGCGGGGTGACTGATGGAGTGAATTTGTGTGTGTGTGTGTGAGAGAGAGAGTGAATGTGTGTGTGAATGAGGGAGAAAGAGAGAGAGATAGAGAGAGAGAGAGAGAGAGTGAGTGAGAGTGAGTGTGTGAAAGAATGCGTGTGAGATAGAGAGAGTGAGATTGTGAGAGAATGTGTGAGAATGTGAGTATATGCGAGTGTGAGAGTGAGTGAGTGAGAGTGTGAGTGTGTATGATAGAGAGTGTGAATGAGAGAGTGTGTGTATGAGTGTGAGAGAGTGAAAGCTAACATGTGTGAAAGAGAAAGGAGAGAGAGTGACTGAGAGAATGAGTGTGTGAGAGTGAGTGAATGTGTTAGTGAGAGAGAGAGAGAGAGAGTGTACGTGTTATAGAGAGAGAATGTGTGTGGGAGAGTGAGACTGTGTGTGTATGATATAGAGAGAATATATGAGAGAAAGAGAATGAACGAGAGTGAGTGAGAGAAAGAGAGAGTGAATGACCTTGAGAGAGAGAGAGAGAGAGAGAGAGAGAGAGAGAGAGAGAGACGAAGCGTGAAAACTATAAAAAGAAAGCTAGAATTCATCCCTCCAAAAGAATTCAAAGTTTTAATTCCGCTGAAAATTATTTCTCATGGGATTTCTCGAATAATTTTTGTTTTGATCTGCAAACGTTTCTTCCATAAATAAAGTCTTCTCTGATTTCGTCTGCCTATCTTCAGGGCGAAGATACATTAGCATATTTTCACATAATTTTAAGAACGCGTTTTGATTTTATTTCCATAAACAAATAAAGAATTATTTTCTCCTTTTAGTAATGTTGAAATTCGAAACTTGTGAGAGAAGTTTTGGAAGATTAAATTAAATAGAATCAATCGAGTCATATTAAAAAAAAAAAACTTTTCCTTTTCCAATTGTAAAATAAAAGAAACGTTTTTTTTTTAATATTCAACAAACATAGACAAAACGCCAGGAAAATTTACTCTTTTTTTATGCGTATTGCAACTGTTGCGTGAGGAAAATCATTTAAGAGTTATTTTTGTCTTTTTCATAGAGGACATAGCGGCCATTGTTATTATAAACTACATTGTTGAAGGTTCGTGTTTTCAATACATTTGTTACATAGGTTGCTGATCCATTGGATTGAAAGCAAATCAATAAGAAATATAAAAAAAACCTTTTGTGTTTTGAATAGAATTTCGGAACGCCATTTACATGTTTGTAATTATTAAAATCAAATGAAACTTGGATATTTATTTTTTAACTTGACATTATTATAGCAAGTCATAACATTAGTATTCAGAACTCTTGCTTAGTTTTCAGATACAAGTATCTATCTATCTATCTATCTATCTATCTATCTATCTATCTATCTATCTATATAAATCTGTTCATTATGTTAGTCTGTTCATTATCTATCTATCTATCTTAATCTGTTCATTATCTTAATCTGTTCATTATCTTAATCTGTCCATTATCTATCTATCTGTCTATCTTAATCTGTTCATTATCTCAATCTGTTCATTATCTTAATCTGTCCATTATCTATCTATCTATCTTAATCTGTTCTTATCTTAGTCCGTTCATTATCTATCTATCTATCTAGCTATCTATCTATCTTAATCTGTTCATATCTTAGTCTGTTAATTATCTATCTATCTATCTTAATCTGTTCATTATCTTAGTCTGTTCATTATCTATCTATCTATCTTAATCAGTTCATTATCTTAGTCTGTTCATTATCTATCTATCTATCTTAATCTGTTCATTATCTTAGTCTGTTCATTTTATCTATCTATCTATCTAGCTATCTATCTAGCTAGCTATCTATCTATCTTAATCTGTTCAATATCTTAATCTGTTCCTTATCTATCTATCTATCTTAATCTGTTCATATCTTAGTCTGTTCATTATCTATCTATCTATCTATCTTAATCTGTTCATTATCTTAATCTGTTCATTATCTATCTATCTATCTTAATCTGTTCGATATCATAATCTGTTCATTATCTTAATCTGTTCCTTATCTATCTATCTATCTTAATCTGTTCAATATCTTAATCTGTTCATTATCTTAGTCTGTTCATTATCTATCTATCTAGCTATCTATCTATCTTAATCTGTTCAATATCTTAATCTGTTCCTTATCTATCTATCTATCTTAATCTGTTCAATATCTTAATCTGTTCAATATCTATCTATCTTAATCTGTTCATTATCTTAGTCTTTTCATTATCATCTATCTATCTTCTATCTATTATCTATCTATCTTCTAATCTGTTCAATATCTTAATCTGTTCTGTTCATTATCTTAATCTGTTCATTATCTTAATCTGTTCATTATCTATCTATATTTAATCTGTTCATTATCTTAATCTGTTCATTATCTATCTATCTGTTATCTCAGTCTGTTCATTATCTATCTATCTTAATCTGTTCTCTGTTCATTATCTATCTATCTATATCTATATATATATATATATATATATATATATATATATATATGTATACATATATGTATGTATATATATGGGAGCTTCTTGGCTGTCACTGTATTACAGTAATCTGCAACATTAACATTATACGCATGATTTATTTGTTTTTACGGGTTTAATTAAATTTTAGTATTAGCAAGAAATATTTTGATAAATATACAACGTATTCAGTGCATCCAACAAAGATTTTGAAAAGTATTTAAATAAAACCCAAGTAATAAAATGTTACCAATGTTAGTAAGGGCAACATTATTGGCACGTTATAATTTTCTTATTTTATGACTTTGATGAATAAAAAGTTCCTGGCAACATTTGTCTCTCATGCATGCAACGTCTGTTAACATGGGAATGGCCAAAGAATACACTGTAGCCTTTAGAAATGAAGCTTGTGAAGATTTGTATGAATGATGAATGGTGAATGGTATGACCACATTGTAAGTATCATTTACTTTAGTCAACTCTATTAGCCATTAGTAAGAAGGGTTTAGAGACTGATAAGTTAGTTAACAAGTGTCGAAGAGGTCGTAAACGAATATTTCTGGAGTTAGGGAAAGGTAGAATGGTGTGCGGATTGAGCAGAATAAATCTAGCAATGTCATGAAACGAGACAATGAATTAGCAGCTGTATAGGTTAAAGTTTCTCAATGAACGGTGGGTAAAATTCTTGAAAGAGAAACACTGAGAGCATGTCGTCCTAGAAAGACTGATATTTAGCTGCATCGTCATGTGAAGGCACAACTCTTGAAAATACGATATGTTATTCTGCTGTCACAATTGAATACATGGTAGAAGATACTCACCTTTTGTGCGTATGCAATTTTCTGTGGACATAATTACGAGAGGCGGTGATATACATGTTTTATATTGTTTTATTTTTGTTATATTGGAATACAGTTTGATATAAAAAAATGTAGGATATTATTAATTTTGGCTGTTTGGTTGGTTGGTTTATTTTGTTTAGCGGCATATCAACACCTCTATGGGTTATTTAATGCCGAAATCTAAATATTTTGAACACAATGTTATGGATTCAACTGAATATATAGTCGGTCGTTTTCATATAAAAATGTATTGCTGGTATTTTTACTATTAAAATGTATTTTTATCTTTCTATACTGTTTTTTTGGAGGGAGTCACTATTTGCCTATAACTAGGACCCTTATAGGTGCTACCACCCCCAGGTCAGGCTGGACCTGGGAACAACAGCAATAGGAGGTGGTTCCAGGCTCCTCGAAACCTCTAATATCGGGATCAGAGTCCTTACTGCCGGATGTAGTTCAACGTCATATCGAGGATTTCAACGTTGCTACTTTCTCGTCAACATGAGAACTTACTGAGAGCACGTTGTCCTAGAAAAACTGATCTTTTACAGCCTCGTGTGTGCTACAGATCATATGAAAAACTATGATGTATTTTGAACGAAAAAAATACGGTTTGATTAAACAAAAATGGGTCATACCAATTTGTCACATGTTTGGAGGAAAAATGAGGTAGCACACCTAATAAAGAACATTGTCCCTGCAGTGAAGTAAGGGGGTCGTGGGTTGAGGTTCGGGGGTTGGGTTAGGTGTAAAATTCTCCGGAGATTTACATGAAATGGACGGTATTATGAGAAAAGAGAAATACATTAAGATTTGAGCCACAATTTGATGCAGATTGCAAGCGAACTGAATCGGGGACGTCGTTGGTTGTTTAAACAGAAAATTGATCCTGAGAATACTTAAATATGTAGTGAAGATATGTGTACAGGCAAATAGGAGGACCAGAACAAAAAAACCAAACCATATTCCGATAGCGAATATGTGGATCCAGTTCGAACTTCAAATGTAAGTGTTGCAAAGGTGGGGTGTGACAAAACGACGGTAGCTCGGTAACCGGGCTTCTTGCTGGCAGAGTATTCTTAGAGGCTGGCTGCTTTATTCTGTGACACTTTGTTCTCGGGCGACGGATGTGAGCTGTCCACCATCACACGTTGGCAGGTCGCATGGAATAAATTTCGTTAACTGTTGCCTATCCTTACAACTTGTTCCTCCCGACTAAGACGGGAGTTTGTGTGTGCAACACTTGTGCTCGAAGCGTCATGCTGCAGGCCAGCTTGACTTCAGTCGGGTGCACGGAATGACAGGACCATGACACGCTGGATGTGTAGCGTTTACACTTAGGATGAGCTCAGGTCAAACTTATTTCTCGAGAAGCCAGTCCATGACGACGTTGATCTCAGTGAGAGGCCTATCGAACAGGTCCGTGAAGGAGTGGTTAAGGGCAGCAGATAATTTAGGAGGATGTTTTTTCGGAAGGATCGGACTGCTAGTAACAGGCGTGTGTGGAGAGGTAAGATAGAGATCTTATGCCAGCTTAACTCAAATTTTTCATAAAACGTTTAATGGTTTGCTTGCTCCATATGAGAAGTTGAGTGGTAAAAAAAATACAGAATAGGGGTACATTTTATTGAATTTTAATTTTTCAAAACGTTTTAATGTTAAAATTCTAACTAAAAAAAAATACCTTTTCTTAAACATTGCCAATAATTTTGTCGAACACCGTACAGGGTGCAATGGGTTAAATTGTCGCCATTTTATATTTTTAATTTCGCGCATGCGCGTTGTTTGTTTTTGATATCTTTGACTGCACAGTATAATAGGGTCACTTGGGCACAGTCTGTGCGAAAAAAAGAACCATGAGGCAATTTACTCTGCGTGCAGTACTGCTTGGTATTCGCGCCCTAAGCACCAATAAGAACATTTAAGAGTATTTGGGTGTCAATCTAAGGACAGTGCAAATGACTCGGAAAGAGTAGAATGAGTCTAATGGTGATTACGAATGGGTTTGGAGTGATCACTAGTGATGGTGACGTTATGCTTCCATACATCTTTCTACAGGGCTTCACTCAACACAGAGACCTACATCAAGTGCTTTGAGGAGGTGGTGCTGCCTTGGAGCAAGAGGGTGGCTGCTGGAAGATCCTATATCTGGCAACAGGAATCTACACCATATCACACAAGCAGGAGAACCCAGCTATGGCTATCAGACAATTTCTGCGACCACATCACACCTTACATTTGACCAGCTAACTCCCCAGGCTGCAACACACTTGATTATTATATATGAGGCATAGTTGAGCGAGAGAGCAACAAAACTTTTTGTAATACCAAGGATAAACTAAAAGCAAAGGTCATAGCAGCAATCACCAACTTAAATTAGGAGACCGTCCAGAAGAAGAGATGCAGGAAATTGTCTCGACGCCGTGGTTCAAACCAACGGCGATTTTATTGAATAAATTTATTCTTTTCCATTTCAAGATATTTTTGTGTAATTTTGGTAAATATATCTGTTAAAATGAGATGTCAGTATTGTTTTCATTTTTGAGTCATTTAGACGACTATTTATCCATCGCATTCTGTATATTTTTTGACAGTTTTTGCGTATCGCTAAATAGGCATACAATATTTTTGTTTATGATAACTTTGCAAATTTTTTTCACAGATATTCCGGCTTATGAGACTTTGGGCCTGCTGTAGTACTCTCAAGCGGCAAAGAATTAAACTCAAAAGATAATTAAAATCATGGTCTTGTTTTCATTTTATTCTCCGGGTAATATAGTCATGGCTTTTTATGACGTTAATGGAAGAATTTCTTTTCCCATTTGATATTTTTCACAAATTTGTTTTCGTATGAAGTAACTCGCAGACAGAAAAAAACAAATCTCTTTAATTTTCTTCAGTATTAAATTTAGGCTTGCCTTGTCTTCAGGGAGAAGAGGGGTCACGATTAGACGCGCTTAGTAACTGAAGGTCCCAACTCTGCAACAGAACATCCCCATTGCATTAAAGGATAGTTTCGGAAATCAATCTAACTCTCCTGTTTCTTAGGTAGTGGGTATATTTATATTGTCCACAAGTTCATGTATGAGTCGAATAAGTATGCAAATAAGAGGCTGGATAGTCATAATAAATGTAATAACTGAAGCTAGTATCCCTGTAACATTGTGGGTGCAGAATAAAAGTGTGTAATTTAAGGTTAAGGATGAGAGAGAGAGAGAGAGAGAGAGAGAGAGAGAGAGAGAAAGAGAGAGAGAGAGAAACATGTATGATAACAAATAAGCAGCTACGCAGATATTTACACTATTTACATTCTTTGGGCTGTTGTCCACATCTTTATTGTAACATTCACGACGTTTCGGCCGTTGTAAGCTCTGGCTTTCTTCAGGTGATATACAATCGTCTGGTAAGCTAATAACACTATCATTAAAAGAAGAAAGAAAATCACCATATTGATACATATTTTTTAATCCTATCTAAGCTTTCGCCTTACATAAGCCATTATCAAAGATGACAATTACATTGAAATATATTAAACAATACACGGACAAAACAGTAATAGTAATGATAGTCTGTTTATGTTTGCATGGAAGATTTCCAAGCAATGACAAACTCGTGCATACAAGACCCTGGAAGCGAAAATCGCACCGCAGAACATGACGTCACACATGACCATGCGAGAGTTATACAAGATTAAAAAAATATGTATCAATATTGTGATTTTCTTTCTTCTTTTAATGATAACATTATTACGCTTATCAGACGATATGAAAAGAATTTACATAAAATGATTATTATTTATTACA